CTCCAGTGCAAGGCGGCAGGGAGCCCCCCGCCCCGCATCACCTGGTTCAAAGGGGACCGCCCTCTGAGCCTCACCGAGCGTCACCACTTCACCCCCGGCAACCAGCTGCTCGTTGTGCAGAACGTGGGGGCCGAGGATGCGGGCCGGTACACCTGCGAGATGTCCAATGCCCTGGGCACCGAGCGGGCGCACAGCCAGCTGAGTGTGTTGCCCAGCCCTGGCTGCAGGAAGGACGGGACAACCGTGGGCATCTTCACCATCGCTGTGGTGTGCAGCGTGGTCCTGACGTCCTTAGTCTGGGTGTGCATCATCTACCAAACCAGGCGGAAGAGGGAGGAGTACAGCGTCACCAACACAGGTGCCCTGCTGGTGGCTGGCTTCTGGGGGAGGAAAGCAGGGACAGTTGGGAAGGCTGGGCCAGGGCTTCCTGTATATGTAAACTCTAGAACAGTGGTTCTCAACCTTCCTAATGCCACGACCCTTTAATATAGTTCCTCAGGTTGTAGTGACCCCCAACCATAAAATTATTTTTGTTGCTACTTCATAACTGTAATTTTGCTACTGTTATGAATCGTAATGTAAATATCTGATATGCAGGATGTATTTTCATTGTCACAAATTGAACATAATTAAAGCATAGTGATTAATCACAAAAACAATATGTAATTATATATATGTTTTCTGATGGTCTTAGGCGACCCCTGTGAAAGGGTCGTTCGACCCCCAAAGGGGTCTCGACCCATAGGTTGGCGACCATAGGTTGAGAACCGTTGCTCTGGAACCTTGGGGAACCTGGAGCCATTCTAGACAGTGAGCTTTAGTGTGCCTGGCACTGTTTTAACTCCCAGGAATGGGAGGTTGAATGAGAAGACTGTCAAGTGCAGCACCGTGAGCTCTGCAGGCTCCTACCTGGGGTGGTCAGGGGCGTCCTGGGCGTGTGCCTCGTTGCCGTGGCGGGCCGTTACTGCGCAACTCTGTGTCTATCAGCTCTGACTCTCTCCCATCACTGCTTTCTGTCTGTGCACTTGGATCTGATGGCCACACCTTTCACACCTGGCTGGGAAGTGCACTGGGGAGGCCTCCTGAGCAGGACTCCAGGTTCTGCACGGCCATGACTGCTGCCATGGGTGGGGGGTGGGGGTCCTGTGTCTGTGTTCTTGTCACCACAGAGGACTGGGACCTGGGGGTGACTGCCCTGTCTCCTTGCAGATGAGACCGTTGTGCCGCCAGATGTTCCGAGCTACCTCTCCTCTCAGGGGACCCTTTCTGACCGACAGGACACTGTGCTCAGGACTGAGGGTGGCCATCAGGTCAATGGACATGTCGAGAGCAATGGTAAAGCCACAAAGTCTGATGCAACTGTTCCCATGGCATTACATTGAGCATGTTTGACCTGGGAGGCAAGTGACTGGAGCCTGTTGGGTTTTTGGACCTCCCTGTGCAAGTTCTGCCAAGGTTAAAACCCCGCCCCCCCCAGAAAATCCTTCCATGGGGCTCAGCGTCTCTTGCTAAGAGCCCTGTCTCCTCTCAGCAGCTCTCGCGCGCGCCCACAAGGCACTCGTGGGGGACAGCGTGTGCTTGGCAAGCTTGGCCCCCAGGGCTTCCTGTGCGGCTGCGGCAGGCCTGCTGCTGGGAAGGAGTCTCAGTAATGGGCCTGGGCCACCCCTCGGAGGGGCGTTCTAGAAACGCCTGTCTTCTAGCAGTGACGCCCACTCTTTTCATTAGTGTGCCCGGGAAATGCTGAGCCCAGCGCTTCCAACAGTGTGGGCCTCTGTTGCAGGTGTCTGTCCGAGAGATGCAGGCCTCTTTCCAGAGGCCGATGCTCCCAGCATCGCGTGCAGGCAGCCCCGGCTCTGTGTTGGGTACAGCAAGGAGCAGTGGAGAGCGACAGAGAAAGCCGCTGGCACACCTGGTCCACAGAAGATGGGTGAGATGCTTTCTCAGAAAAGTGTTTTGTTCTTCAGATCCCAATCTGGGTTGACCTCAGAGAGAGGCATTATGGTCTAAGGCCATCCCAGGATTGGGTTTTCATACCCAAACAGGAAGCGGTGTGGGGCCTGGCTCTCTGAGTGTGAGTAGGATGTCTCTAAAATACTCCTGTGGGCACGGACTTTCCAGATTTGTAAGCAACATCAGTGAAGCGCCAGGCCCGACCTTCAGCAGGGCCCCGTGGAGGCTCCTTGCTGATGGTCAGAAGCTCCTGATGCTGCGAGGAGCCATTCAAATAGGGTTTGATCCCAGTTGTCTGATGAAGAAATTAAATCTGAAGTAAACATGGAAGACCCCATCCTTAGCCCCAGGGGGTTGTATTGATCTCAGCGGCCCGCCCCGGTGCTGGGGTGCAGCAGGCTCGGGGTGCAGGCCCAGGCGCTGGTGCTGAGTGTCTCCACTGTGTCTTGCAGAGCCCAGTGGCCCCACTGTAAGCAGTGACAGCCACACTGATGTGGACAGTTACTCCAAGGAACACGCCTTCTGTCCTCCGCCGACGTCCAGGGACAGTACACAGCCAGGTACACCGAGCAGCCAGGAACCCCGTGGGAGCGACCGAGAACATTCTCCACGTCTGGACATTCTCCACAGTGGGGCTGGTGACGGGTCTCCCCCCGACCGCAGGGAGTCCCTCTACCCCAGTAACCACGACAGAATGCTGCCGCCCTGGAAGAGAAAGCCCGGGGCGCCTCCAGAGGGGAAAGGTAAGTCTTCATGCCTTCCCGTCCCCAGCAGGGGGCAGCACGGAAACGCCAGGCCAGGTCTGATGGGCCCTCCTTTCTTGCAGGGGCCCCTCCATGGATGTTCGCAGGGGTGTGTGAGCCGGACTGCATAGACCCCCAGCCCTCGACACTGACCCAGGGCAGTTCTGAGCTCACACGAGCCGCCCTGGACTCTCCCGACGCCCCCAGCGAAGGTCGGCACTTGCTTCTGCTGAATGGACACATCCCCAAAGCAGGTGACTCCGGTCCCGAGTCCACGCCACTGACAGGACAGCTGCCCGGGAAGAGGAGCGGGCCGCTGCTGTTCGCCCCACGGGCCTAGGCGCTGTCTGTCTCCAGGGAGGAGAGGGAAGCGCTGTGAGGAAGCTTGGGTTCAAGCGTCACTCTGTACAGTTTTAACTTCCAAGGGGAGTGTCCGTAGTTTAAAGGACTTGCAGCTGAAGCACGGAATGCAAGAGGCTATTGTGTACATAAGAGTTTTCAGAGATTTCATATATATTATATATCTTTTACAAAGGATATTTTAATCTTTATTGCATGGTTAACAGAAAATCGTACAGTTTTGACAATATTTTTCTTATCAGGTTGCTGTTTCATTTTGGAATGTGGGGATAGTTCTGGTGCCTTAATGTATGGATGGAATTTATAGACGCTAAAAACCACATTTCTTGTGGGGTGTGGGGCGGGGGGAGGAGGAACCCCTCGGACTCCATCGCACATGGCAGGGCAGACCCGGATGCTTCACAGGCAGAGCTGGGTTTGCATCGGAAGTAACTTCACGTCAGTACTGCTCAGTGGGTGCTCCTTGCAGACCTCCTCCCTGCGCCCAGACCTGTTCACGTCACATACTCTGCACTGAGTGACTTTTCCTCATAGGTTCGAGCTCTTTCTTAACGAGCAAGGTGGGGGTTGTTAATCACCACAGCCTTTGGTCTGAACAATTAAGCCTTCTTCCTTCCGTGATAAAAGCGAATGTCTGTCAGGATCACTTGTCATTTGAGGCTTTCTAATAAGAGAGAGGTTGCTGCTGTTGGTACCTGTGGATTTTTCAATAGTGATGCTTTAGTTCTGCCAATGTAATTAGTGTTATGTTGGTGTTAGGGGAGAACGAGGATCAAGTCCTTACTTTCAGGGCGAGCGAGCTTATCTCCACGAGGATCCGGGCGCCCTGTGCACGTCCCTCCCTTGCACAGACGAGCCCGTGCCTTGGGTTCTGGGGGATTTGCACTTGGGAGGCCTGGAGCTGATCTCCTGTGAGTGCCAATGGGTATTTGAGGAAAAACTGCATTCAAACTAACAAGGTCCTTAAAAGCTCGGAAAGCAAGGTCCTTCAGCCAGCGCGCTGAAGGCAGGTATTGACAGATGGTTACTATGTTAATTTACTGTCAGATAATCACTGTTCCAAAGGTAAGCACATTTAGAATTTTGTTCTCAACAGTTAACTGATGTTACTTCCACAACATGTGAATTTGCTGCTTCTGAGAGGCAATGTGAAAGAGGAAGTATTACTTTTATGTACAAAGTTATTTATTTATAGAAATTTTGGTACAATGTACATTGAAAAACGTGTAAAATATTGAAGTGTCTAACAAGCGGCAGTGAAGTGTCTTTAATAAAGTTCACTTATAAATGTTGTGTGCGGCTCGGGTCGTGTGTACATTAACCCACTGAATTCCAGAAATGCCCTGACAGTGCAGTCCTGCCTTTTCTTACCTTTGGGATCAGTGCATGACTTAGCACAGCACATCGCACACCGTGGCTCCCAGCAGTACGAGGTTCCTGGGACTCGTTTTCCTGGAGCTTATCAGTCAAGCTCTAAAACGGGGACCTTCCCCTTCCATCCCTCTCCCCCGTGGTGAGCTCAAAACTCCAGGCAAAGCTGACTGGGGACTAAGAAATGTCACTGCGAAGCCAGCCCAGCTGCCTCCAGGCTCCAGCATGCCCTCCGCTCTCCAGCCCTGAGGCCCACCGGTCACTGAGCTGCTACTGCTGGCTCGCTTTCATAGATCACCTGAGCCACTGAACACCTCTGTCAAATTCAATTGTGTTTTCATGGTACATCGGAGGGTCATCAAGAACAGCTGGGTTATCAGCTCAGGCACCTGTAGTCACTCTTTCTAAATAAAGCTGTGAGCTTACAAAGAAGTCACTACCTCACATGACTGACAGTCTCCTGTCCTCGTCTAGCCATTCCTCCAAAAGCACACTCTCTCTGCCTTCCTTCTATCTGCTCCCAGGTCAGGAAAGGAAGGGCAGATACAGTCAAATGAAAGCTCGGAGGGGCCAGCCTCAGCATCACCAAACTTCTTTATTCAGGGGTTCTGAGAAAATTGTTAAAAGTACTGCTCTTGGCATCGTTTTCTCTCAATTTTCTGGCAAATATGTAGATGACATCATCCCAGTCGCCTGTAGCCTGGAAGTCGTGCTCCGAGTGGACCTGCAGGACTGGGCTTCAGTGCCTGCATGTTCAGAGGGCCCAGCAGCTGCGGGAGGGGGAGCTCTCACCTCGGCCCCAGAAGGCGTGGCTGCAGGAGGGGGAGCGCTCACAGCGGCCCCCTGTAGGCGTGGCTGTGGGCGTGTGGTTCACGGGCTCTCTCTGCCAAGCTCCAACAGCATGCTATGCGTTTGGTCATAAGCACCAAGAAAGATGAAACCTCCCAGGCTGATGGCTGCCATTCGCGGGAAGACTCCTGCAAATAATCTGGGGGAAAAACAAAGGAGAGATCTTTTTCTTAATTGTGTGTGTGTAAAGAAGGCAAAATTCCAATACCCTCAGCTTGTTCAACTCACACACCATGCTCATTAAACCCCACACAGTACTTCGAGCAGTGGTTCTCAACCTTCCTAATGCCGTGACCATTTAATACAGTTCCTCATGTTGTGGTGACCCCCAATTTCATTCTTACAAATTGAACATAATTAAAGCATAGTGATTAATCACAAAAACAATATGTAATTATATATGTGTTTTCCAATGGTCTTAGGCGACCCCTGTGAAAGGGTCGTTTGACCCCCTAAGGGATCATGACCCACAGGTTGAGAACCGCTGACTTAGAGTGTGTGTTTTTTCCTTTTAGAATGGCATTAAGTTACATTCCCAAGACGACTTGTGGATGTCTGAGCCCAGCTGTTTGTTGGTGAAAGTGGCTACATACCAAACAGCACAATTAAAGTCAATTAGTCAAAAATAGTAGCCTTGTCCCCACAATAGTCCTGTTTAAACCTCCAGATGATTTTTGCCTTTAGAGATGATAGAATTGACTTTTATAAAGGAGTCGAAGGACACACTACCCTGGAAGCCCATGTGGCCGCGGGGGTTAGAGGTTTCAGACGACTCTGTTGCTCCTCCCAGTGACTCGGGCACACTGGGTCCCAAGAGACCACAAGGAAGATGCACAGCAGAAGGCAGCAGACGCCTGCCTTTGGTGAAGGAGAAGAAGGGAAGGGGCTGGGAAGGGAATAGAAGGTCAGCCCCCAAGCACCTCAGAAGTCGTCACTGTGACAGTTGCAACTTTGGAATAATTAAGGAAATGCAAGGTAAAAAAAACAATGTTACTAGGGATGTATATTGGGAGTAAGTGGAAGCTAACAGACATGCTCCCAGGACCAAATTGGAATTACAAAATACAGAAGAACCACCCTGAATAATCAACTGAGGACTAGCTGGAGAGAACCCTGATAACCGAGGATGGAAAGCGGAGACCACATAGAGACTGGTAGGAGGGGCAGAGGTACTAAAGGGCTGGCCGGGCTTCCACAGACAGCAGCTGAAGTCCCAGAGGGTTATCTCAGCTGTGGGGGGTTCCCACTGAGAACTCTGGGGTCTAATCCCCAAGCTGGGCTTCCCAGCAGAGAGCACCAGACCTGAGAAGGGTACCCACAGAACATCTGGCTGTGAAAAGCAGCAAGGTTGCAGCCTGCCAGGGAGAGATGGCAGGCAATACAAGCACCCTGTCCAATGCACAAAATTCCATGTGCAGCCACTCACCTTGTGCTCCAGTAGAGGGAGAGCAGAGTGGACTGGAGCTGTATAAACATAAGCCACGGTTGGGGGATCCTGGGATAGAGCTCGGAAGGCAGCACCTCAGTTTTCTGTGCTGAGTCATTCCCTCACACTGTGGAGGTTATACTTTTCTCAGGCAAACTTTTGTTATCCTGCTGTTTTTGCCTCGGGAGAAGACAGTTGACCCACCCTATTGGAAAGTCCCTTGCCCCACACTGTGGAGTTTCTGAGGCCCAGTAAGATACAGAATAACAACTAGCCTCCAGGCAGAAGCAATTGCCCCACCCTGTTGGAAAACCTCTCACCCCACCTGTGGATGATTGCACGAGGATATTCCAGACTGAATCCAATCAGTCTCCAGGCAGAGGCGGGTCTCTGGAGGCTTTGAGTCTTTGCCTGATCTAATTAGTATCAGATATTGGGTCCCCCACTGCAGACACCATCCCAGACTGCTCAGGCAGACAAAAGCTAGCAGGACGCCAAGCACCTGCAGCTGACACTTGTGGAACCAGCTCCTCGGGGGAAGGAAGCACAGCTCAGAACAGGGTCAATCAAGGTGTGAGACTCAAGGCAGACCCAGGTTCTGGACTAAGGAGTCCCTGAACACTGGACAGCTGGCATGATGACATTGGGGTTGAACCTCTGGTGGCAAGTTGGAGGGGAGATCCTTCCCACAAATGGGACATTGATAATTAAGTCCCAATTACAACAAGAGAACACAACGCACACAAGAGGCATTCCTAGAGCATCCAGCTCAGCAGAACAAAGAAACCACCACTGGACCCCTCAAGATACTTTCTACATATGACCATCCCACGAAGACTTGGAGGCATAGCAATTCTATGTAATAGGTAGGAGCAAATACAAAGAGACAGCTAAAATGGGGAGACAGAAACAACCCCCAAATGAGAGAAAAGAAGGACTCTCCAGAAAAGAACTAAATAAGATGGAGACAAGCAACCTATCAAACATAAAGTTCAAAGCAATGGTTATAAAGAACTTAAAGAACTTAGCACAGCCCTAACCAGTTTGGCTCAGTGGACAGAACGTCAGCCTGCGGACTGAAGGGTACCAGGTTTGATTCTGGTCAAGGGCGTGTACCTTGGTTGCGGGCACATCCCCAGTAGGGGGTGTGCAGGAGGCAGCTGATTGATGTTTCTCTCTCATCGATGTCTCTAACTCTCTATCCCTCTCCCTCTCTGTAAAAAATCAATAAAGTATATTTTTTTAAAAAAGAAAAAGAACTTAGCACAAATTACAACAGCATGAAAAAGGAAACAGAGGCTATGAACAAGAACCAGACAGAAATGAAGAGTGATCTGTCTGATGTGAAGAACACACTGGAAGGGATTAAAAGTAGATTGGAGGAAGCAGAGGGCCAAGTCAGCAATTTGGAAGACAAGGTATAAATAAATACCCAATTAGAGCAGCAAATAGGAAAAAAATATTAAAAAGTGGGAAGTCAGCTTAAGGGAGCTCTGGGACAACATGAAATGTAACAACATCCGCATTACAGGAATACCAGAAGGGGAAGAGGATGAGCAAGGAACAGAGAACCTGTATAAAGAAATAATGACAGAAAACTTCCCCAACCTGATGAAGGAAAATGTCACACAAGTTCAGGAGGCACAGAGTCCCAATCAAGATGAACCCCAAGACACCCACACCTACACACATCGTAATTAAAATGGCAAATGTTGAGGACAAAGAATCTTAAAGGCAGCGAGAGAGAGAAAATTACATAAAAAGGAGTCCCCATTAGAATGTCAACTGACTTCTCAAGAGTAACACTTCAGGCCAGAAGGGAGTGGCATGAAGTACTCAAAGTAATGAAGAGCAAGGGCCTAAATCCAAGACTACTATATCCAGCGAGGCTATCATGTAAAATTGAAGGTGAAATAAAAAGCATTCCCTGCCTATATTTCTGGAATAATTGAACTTTTTTAACCAAGAGTATTACTTTTGTAAGCAGAAAAACAAAATTACAAAATCAGTAGAAGTAAATTACTAGTGAAAAGATCAGGTCTAGGGAAGAAAACGGACAATAGCCAGGTTATGCCAACAGCAGTTTCTCTTTCCAGAGATGGGGAAGCCACCATGGAAAGCTAGGCGGTGGCCCCCCCACAAAACAGCAGAAGGAGCCCTCCTGCCCGGCCACAGCTGCCCGGCTGCTTCCTGTGTGCACTGTGTTGCGGGAGAGCAACTTGCCTCCCCTTGTATGCAGAAAGTGGACTTTAGGGTAGTGTGAGCAGCTCCTTATTTTATTTTCATTTATTTATTTTGTTAATCCTCACCAGAGGATTTTTTTCCATTGATTTTTAGAGAGAGTAGAAGAAAGGGGGAGAGCCACAGAGAGAGACATCTATGTGAGAGAGACACATCGAATGGTTATCTTCCACATGCACCCTGACTAGGGCCAGAGATCAAGCCTGCAACCCAGGTACGTGCCCTTGACTGGAATTGAATCCAGGTCCTTCAGTTCTCGGGTCCATGCGCTATCCACTGAGCAAAACTGGCTAGGGCAATGGGTCCTTATTTTAATTATCTAAGTTAGGATTTAAATCATTAATTAAAATACTACAGATAAAACTAGACCTCTTTTTCTTACCTAGAAATAACCATGAAAATTCTATAGGAGACCAAAATACACTTGTAAGAAAAGTTATCTCAGTCATGCAAATTGTTTTTACATGAGGTGGTAGGTGAGGACAGAAACTCATAAATTACCACTTTGAGGCCACTGTGTCCCTGTGGCCCGAGCAGAGTCTCTCCCTGCCCTGCCTGCAGACACAGGTTTGAGGCCACTGTGTCCCTCTGGCCCAAGCAGAGCCACCTGCCTGCAGAGGCACAGGTGGGGCTGGAAGACTGGCCACGAGGTCTCCCCTGCTCCACTGTACCCGACTCCCCTCTAAAGCCAGTGTCTGGGTTCAGCTTTTGCTGCTCGTGAGCTCAGCAGCTCCTGGCCAGAGGCAGATGGAAGCAGTTCATGATTTCTTCAGATGACATTCGAATCAATTAACATAATTACTGCCTTAGAGTAATTTGTACAGTGAGTGCCCCAACTAGATTGGGAGGCAAAGACTTGAACAGGCAGGGCTGTTTGAGTGAGCCACTGAAGGAGATAGCAGACTGACGATGCTCAGCAGGGAGCCGGCGGGCAGACACTCCAGGGCACCGGAAGAAGCAGGTGATGGACAGAGGGAAGGCAGGAAGGCACTGCAGGCTGAGCAGCTCCCAGCGCTTTCCACTGCTGGGCCAGATGAGCACATGGTGTGGCACTTTCATTTTGGAAAAAGCACATGTGAGCCAGGACTTGGAATGAACCAACACAAGAGACCAAAGTGTCACCCTTCCCGCTTCCTGAAGTCAGCACCACACCAACTCGACACCAAGTCCACAGAGCTCAGGGCAAGAGGACAGGTTTGACCACGACTGCACAGAATCCGATAGGAACTATATTGAAATGAATGAGTGGAATTCGGCAGCTTGACTTGATCTAACACTGGTGCATGCCACACCTCTGTGGCCCACGACCACCTGGGCCAGTGAGAATCTTACCTGCTACTAACCAAGCTGCTTCAGACCTCACTTTCTCACACCATTTGTTCAGTGTAGAACTGGTGTCCACGTCAGCCTCAGCGCCGAGCAACCAGGCCCTAATTCCATCCCAGGGTGGTGGCCGTCGGTGGCTAAGCATGGCGTGGGGCCACCACTCTGCCCTTCCCCCTCCCAAGGGTTCCTTTCTGCTAAGCCCAGTTCTTGTCCGAAAGTCCTTGCGTCCTCAGAGCTGCCACTCCATACCCACCCATCCCCGCCTGCTTGCCAGACTCCCAGCTGGGAATTCTGAGCCGAGGACGGGCCATTCTGCTGCAAATGCCTTACCTGGGGCCTGACCAGCAGGCAAATGGTCCCCAAACTACCCACTGGCTGAAACACACTCCTGCCGAGTGCTCATGAAACCGCAACCCAATCGACAACACGGCCCCACCACCCGCTGCGTCCGTCCACACCAGCCGGCCTGTCACTAGGCTCAGTCCGGACTCTGCTCCAGACGTGGCTGCTGCTTTGCTCTCAGGAAAATTCCTGGTGATGATTCCAGAGAGAAATGGCCATTCTGTGTCTGTGCAGACCCCAGCGCTTTGTAACCTTGGGTGGTAACAGCAATGTTGAAACCACTTTGGAGAGAGAGCTCCTAAGGCTGTGATGCTAGAGGTCTGGGGTGCTCAGCTGATAGCAGCCCGCTGTGTCTCCAACGAGGGGTCAGCACGGCGGGATGTTGAAGGTAACTTGTTGCTAGGAGCAGTTAAAGTTCCCAGACCACAAAGGCTCCCTCTGCGTGCTATGCTCGCCCCCTGGGGTCCCTGCATCAGAGCTGGGTGCCGGTCTCCCCAGGGCACCCAGCGCGGGCAGGGCACACGTGGCCTGCATCTCAAGTCGGGGTGGACAGGGCTGGGCCTCCCCTGGCTGGGACACCGCATCCCTGGATTGAGCAACATTGTCTGACACAAGCAAAAGCAAATGCCATGTTTTGCCCAATATAAATACAGAGACCCTGACCAGGGCATAGGCAGAGACGGGAAAGGTGTGTGTCTGACGTCAGGCTGCAGGGGCACCAGCTGGTGGAGAGGAAGCCGCTGCGCACCCCTTGTGCTTACCCTGGCAGCCCCTGGGTGCGCCAGACCCCGTGCAGGGCAGAGAGGACGTTCCCGCCAGCCGTGCTGGACCCGGCCTGCAAGGAAGCACAGAGAGGAAGCAGTTAGCTTGTGAAAGTCCCCAGCTGACGGGTGTCCTCAGAGGCAGGCAGCCTGCTACCCTCATCTAGGGCGGTTCCAAACTGAGGGAGGGCTCCAGGGAGTCAGGACCCCTGGGTCTCGCTACACCAGAAGGGCTCACATTAAGCCTACGGGCAGCGCTGGTGGTCCTGCTGCTCGGCTGGCGTCTCAGGGCCACATGAGGGGCAGAGCAAACCAGGCAGTTCCTGTGCCACCCGAGCAGGTAGATCTCCAAGAGCCACGTCAGGTCTCTGAGAAGAATGGTCTGCTTGGGAAACGGACCTGACTAGCTAATGGACACGCTTTCTACAGAGCGCCGCGTCCAGTGTGAAACCTGGCACGTACCTGAGTAGCTAACGGACACGCTTTCTACAGAGCGCCGCGTCCAGTGTGAAACCTGGCACGTACCTGAGTAGCTAACGGACACGTTTACTACAGAGCGCCATGTCCAGTGTGAAACCTGGTACGTACCTGAGTAGCTAACGGACACGCTTACTACAGAGCGCCATGTCCAGTGTGAAACCTGGTATGTACCTGAGTAGCTAACGGACACGCTTTCTACAGGGCGCCATGTCCAGTGTGAAACCTGGCTGGCGCTCTAAGGTTGGTCCTGTCGGCCCACATGCTAGAATTCTGCTCTTGTTCATTTTTCCACAAGGGAATGACTATTTTTTATTGTTTTGGTCCAGATATGTTATATGTATGGCATCCCCCGAAGTCTGTAGCTTTTTTAAAAAACAATTTTTCTTTTTCCTGAAAAAATTTTAACAGTATGTACCTGAGTAGCTAATGGTGCACGCGAGCAGGTGCACGCGCTGGGGCTCAGAGGAGACCTGAGTGCGCTCACAGCAGAAGCCCGCCAGCCCTGCCTGCTTACGGGACGTAGTCGGAAATGACCGGGAAGGTGGAATGCTGTGGGCACTGGCCGTGTGACAACGATGGACACTGTTTTGCCGGCGGCTCCCCAGGCAGCAGCTGCTGGGACAGGGCAGTGTCCACTTCGGTCACTCTGTGTCCACACGAGCCCTAGCGCCAGCAGGTAGGAGCGGCGGTTGTGCCTTCATTACCTATTTTACCACTTACCTTCGCCAACATGATTCTTGTCTTTGCCACATCCAGGGGCGTGGTGACCACAGCTGCAAATCCACCTGTGCATATAAAACCCGAGCACAGGCTGTTTACTACATGGTACTATGTAACTTTTATTTTACAATTCCCCATAACTCTGCCCAAATCACTCCTTTATCACTACGTCCACTTGATTGGTTCAAGAACGGGATGCGCACATGAAAACCTGTATCCACACGCCACTGCTTCTGTGGTGAACCCACACTGCATGGCAAGGTGACCAGGTCATGCTTTCCCTGCTCAGGCCCACGAGGCCCCACCACAGCCTTGCTCTTCTGCGGAGCAGGAAACAGCCCCGTGTCCACATGGTTGCGTCTGCGGCAGACACCTGCTCGCAGTGAGAGCGGCCGCTCCCAGGGACCCGAGGCCAGGCCTCCTGCGGCCACTGTTCTTTATCTGACTCCAAAACGCTTCCATCGCTTCTGCTCTGAGGCAAGGTGGGCAAACACGTATATCATGGTGGGGATTTCTGGTATAAACTGGCTGGATGCTTCGAGGTAAAAACGTTTAGAGAGTAAAGCTTTCCGTACGTCCAGGCTTCTGGTGGCAGGTGGTGGGGGTACAATGTTGCTAAGCCCGCTCTGCATCTGGGCAGAGCCAGTGTTGCCCTGATAGCTTCTACCTCGTGGCTCCTTCCGACCTCCTCTCCCACGCCACCTGGGACTGTCTAAAATCCGGGGTTGTCTAAAATCCAAACATTTTAAATGGGGTCCAATCTTTGGACAGTTAAAAAAACACACACAACAGAACCCACAGTATATGGTGCCAATATTCTAATTAATGATACAAAGATATGTTTTAAACCCCAGGAGGCCCTAAGGAGGTAGAATAAATTCAGAGGACTTGCACAGACTCAGCACCCATGAACTCGAGTGAAGTGGGCAGTTTTGTGAGAGGCTGCACAGAGCACATGTGTGGAGGATGCTCCAGAAATAGCACCTCTCCCTCCAGCTCTGTGGCATGTGGGCAAGAAGGTCATTTGATCTCTGCCAAATATCTTTCTAAATAAGTTGCTGAAGAGCAATCATTACATGAACCTCCTCCATCTGGTAACTTTGAGATGACAACTTTTTAAAGACGTACCCACTTATGCTTCTATATTCCACTTTTGGTTACCCACAAATGACACATATTTAGGGCTAAAGAGGACCAATAACATGAATATGAGTCTCCTTTTTTAAGCCACTTTTGTATGAGCATGTGAAACATTTTTCTACAGATTCAAAAGTTGCCTGATACTGCAAGTCTTGGCTAAATTTCAAGTACAGTGGGGCCTTGACTTACGAGTTTAATTTGTTCCGAGACCGAGCTTGTTAACTCAAATTACCCTATCAACTCAATGCAAAAAATCGGCAGAGAGACAGCTGGTATTTCAAAAAACTCGTTAGTCGGGACACTCGTAAGTCAAGGCCCCACTGTATTTTAAAATTTTGTGGACCCAGTCCTGAAATCCTATAATTTTAATTTTTTTAACCACATATTTTACACTAAAAGAGTATATATACTTTAATTACAGAAAAGGGTCCAGGAAGGCTTCACAACCATTTAAAAAAAATCCTAAGGAAGGAGGAGGCACTGACCCTGAACCCCCACCACTGACTGTCTTGTTTCCCTGCGCTGGCTGCAGGGCCGGAAAGAGCCAGGCTCTGCTCTCCGGGCTCCCCGCTGTCCGGGCTCCCCGCTGTCCAGGCTCCCCTGCTCTCCGGGCTCCCTGCTGTCCTGGCTGACCAGCCATGGGAAAGAGCCCTGCAGGCCGCTGGGCATCTGGCTGCCCCAGGCACAGGAGGGAAGCAGAAGCACGGAGAGCATAAGTCACTGGGTTTTCCCCCTCACAGAGCTGAGACGTGGGCTTTTCTGTCTGACTCCAGAACTCAGCTCTGGCCACTGGGACTTCCAGTGGCGCCGTTTTTTCATCGGGGACATGCAGACAGCAAGGTGAGTCCACGCACGTGTCTAGAGTGGTGTCTGGTGCACATTGGTGCTCAACGTAATGAGCTCTTGTCTGGGTGGGCAGAGGTTCTTCACATCTCCAGCCAGCGCACATAGTAGGGCCTCAAAATGCTTCCTGGGTGCTCTGGACAAGTGTCTGTAGTTTTCACAAACTGAAGATTTCAACGTGTTCTCTGAAAAGGAGGTACAGAGGAACTCCAAGCTGCCATTTGTGCCGGCTCTGTGCCTGGAACTCGGCCTGGCTAGACACTGCTGTGGAGGGTTTGATCTTGCAGACAGCTGGCCCAGGGACCACAGATAATGGGGAGTGGGGCCTCACAGCCATGTGTGTCTCAGCTCTTTCACTACATAAAGACTTTGATATTGGATATTAAAATTTATCCACTTAAATTTTAAAACTCCGGCCGAAACCGGTTTGGCTCAGTGGATAGAGTGTGGGCCTGCGGACTGAAGGGTCCCGGGTTCGATTCCGGTCGGGGGCATGTGCCTGGGTTTCGGGCACATCCCCAGTGGGAGATGTGCAGGAGGCAGCTGGTCGATGTTTCTCTCTCATCGATGTTTCTAACTCTCTATCCCTCTCCCTTCCTCTCTGTAAAAAATCAATAAAATATATTTTAAAAAAAAATTTTAAAACTCCGAAGAGCATACACCATTTTTCTTGTTTGAAAATGTTCATAAACTGTCCCCAACCAAGACGACTTAAAGGTTGTGAGTCGCCTGCGGTGAAAAGTGTCTGCCTTCTAATAAAATTGGATATTGCACGTTAAATGGGTTTTGGCCATTAGCAAAGTTCCTGTTCCTTTACTGGGGATGCCTGCGGTATTTTCTTAGAGATTTCTGTTTCATCAAAGTAATATGAAGGGATGTTAAAGACGAAAGCACATATGCTTAAATAGGTCTTAATTTTACTACCACAAGGAAAGCTATTTTATGAAAGTTGCTAATCAATCAATTTGAATATCTTCAAATATCAAAGATTCCCCAAGTCACAGGCCTCGCCATGTTTTTATGAGGCAGCAGGAAGGATGTGTGAAGGTCGAGTACTAGTGTAACTGGTCATACAGGAGGGCCGGGCGACCGGCACTTTCGTTAAAACGTCCTGCTCTCCACAGGTGAAGTGCTGGTAATAACTGAGGGACACGCTAGCACGTTGGCCAGGACAGCTGTCTGCTATGGCAACCGTGGCTGCTTCATGCTCAGACCTCAGGGAACCGTGTTCTCTGGGCCGCTCTGCACCGGGCTCTTTGCAAGGTCAGAACTGCTTCCAGGGGCAGAGGCAGGGACCAGATGTCGTGCCTGTGACACTGAGCTCTCGAGACCAAGGGGCTAGGTCCCAGGGCAGGTCTGGAGCTGCCCCTCGAGCAGCAGCTGCTAGCGTGGTCCCTGCTGGCCCCTCCCTCCAAACAGGCCCAGGGCAGGGCTAGGGCTTCACCATCCAATGTGTTTGTTTTAAAGATTGTGCTGGGCCTTCCATTTACCCAGATAACCCTTCACCCTATTCTAGAATTTCAAGCCATGGGAAGGTCTGTCTGTCTGTCTATCCATATCTACATCTCTGTCACTCTCCTCTCTTAGAGAATTTAAATCGGTGTTAGTTATAAGAAACTGATCAGAGAGCACTGAATAGCAATTACCACTCTAATAGCAAATGTCATCATTACGTACGCTGAATTATGATTTTATGTTTAGACATTAACTTGAAGTGCGAAAGTTGCAAAGTCCTTTTTCTTCCTAGTTTAACCCCAAAGGACCTGCTGAGCATGACAAGCCATCAACACCTCCACTCTCAGGGGCCACTTCTGGATATTTGTGCCAAGCAGTGCACGGCACAGAGTGCCAGGGAGGCCCAGACGGGCCAGGCACACAGGAACGAGAAACACGGCTTCTGATTTGAGGGCCAGCTTGCCCGCTGCTTTATGACCACGTACGGCTGCCGAGTCCGAAAGTGCGCCGGCCAGCCTGTGCGATCTCGGAGGGCGGCCCGATGGCGAGCCCTCCGCGGCTGGGAGGCAGTGCTGCAGCAACTCTCACAGAAGGTCAGCTTCCCCACCGGGAGTGTTCCCTAATGGCGGCCATCTTTCACAAAGGTCTAAAGTAGTTAAGTCCTCAGGGTCAACACTGTGCCAAGGAAACTTTCAGAACAAAAGGGGTATAAACAAGAAATGGGTTTTCTCTTTTGCTAAACATATGTGGGTCTCCTGACAATGGATTTTTGCAGACTTTGGATAAACTCCTTCACTTATCAGAACCTCAGCTAAAAAAGTTAAGATGATTGTATCAGAGGAGATGATTGTATACAGTAACTTTAATACTATTCTTTCAATGCAATTGAAATTATTGTGATAGTTTTCATTTCCTGGGTGCTGGTTGCTCTTATTGAAATAGTAACAGTTCCTTAGGTCTGTTCAGTTTCATCAATTACAAAGTACTAACACATGCTAGAGTACTGGAATCCCTCAGGGAGGGAGGGCTGCTTCTACGTCACAGGTAAGAAAGCTGGTGCCCAGGACGGCCCCAAAGCCTCATTCCTTAGTCAGAGGCAGAATGGAGACTTGACAACTTTTGTAAGTCCAAACAGTTGGCGGGCAGGGCTGTGTGGTTCTCAGCAAAGCCCTTACAGCTCAGGTGGCGGCTTCTCTGCTGTCACTGGACACGTGGGAGCCACCTTCCTCCAAAGGCCTTGCCTCCGGGATCCAAGATCAGTGGACATTCCCCCTTAGTGCCTATTATAGAACATTATTCCGAAAAAGGAATGGTAATGAATGCCAATTTCCTTAATAGAAACAATGCATTGTAAGCAAATATCTGAACCAGTTACTTAAGGAATGGGGCCAGAGAATATACTAGTATACTTCCTATTTTGACATACGGAAGGGTTTATGGTATTGCTAACTAAAAAGTGGCCTTTCCTTATCCAGGCAACCACATTCCCATAGTGCTCCCTGTGTGCCCAGGCCCAGAGGGAGTCAACAAAAACGCACGCTGTCACCTAGGGAGGGGAATGACACCTGCCCACCCTCCAGAAAGCCAGTCCAGACCACCGACCTACTGAGTATAGCTGATGACTGTGTCATGTGGAAACAAATCCCCTTCATCTCAGTGTGAGCTGGCTTCAGGTCTACAGGCAACATTCTTATTTTTGATTATCAATTCTACAAGTCAAGTGGGCCCAATCATTAATAAAGAATCCTACAGAATGTATGTTCCCTGTTTTCCTAATCACTACAACAAAAAACCCAATCCAACAACCATTAAACAAATTGAAAAAATAATTCTTTTCTAATAAAGTTGACATCTAAACTTCCTATTTATGAACGTACTACTGGCTTCACATCTACACTAGCAATTCACAGCTTCCTGGCAAACCTCCACTTCTATTTATATCAACTACAATTCTAATTCTCTCTTAGAATGTTAAAGCTGTCACTTATTAAATTCCATACAGCATCTGAGTTCTCCTTGGAACCTCACTGGGAAAGGCCTATGACGTTGTGATGGATGACACAGTTCTGCATGTTGTCACTTTGCTCTTCGGTTAATGTCTAGAAAATGCCCAGATGTTTCGATGTCCCTATTTTCTACACAGCAGTGTAGCCTTCAGTACACTGGGAGCAGCCCCCCTCCTGATACCAGTTAATCTGTGGTGCTGTCAAACATGTCATGGCCGTGAGTCACTGCCTGCTGCAGGGCTCGCTTAACCCCCAGCACTGCTCAGGGCAGGCAGCTGCACAGGCAGCCCTGCCCCAAGCCAGCCTCGTCCCACACAGGACTTTATAAATCCTCCTCAAGATGACCCCAGGGCCTGAGTGAAGGCTTTAATAAAGATAAAAGAAAACGAAAAATTTGTCAAAAACAAATTGGTTGTCTTTCAAGGAGACACCTTTTTAGGTTTTTCCTTTTCCTAAGACACTTTCTTTTCTCAAACAACTAGTGGAACTCTCTTCATCTGAACAATCTGGAATTTCTAAAGAATGTTGTTTTTGCATAGTTAATATTTTCACATCCCCCCCTCTTTGGTCTCTCCCAGTATAATATAATCCTTTGCACCTGCAAAAGCTCCACAGACTGCTGACTGCCAAGATTCCACCACATGATCCTGCCTCCAGGACCAGAGGGCCTGTGTTTAAGAGAAAGAAAAAGACAAGTTATTAAATATTTGAATTTATCGCAACCTCCTGTGGGTGAGCCCTAGGGATGGGAACTTAAGTGAGAAGCTATTTTGGTGGCATTCCTCACTGATGACATAAGTGATTTTCCCAAGGACTTAACTGCATTCTAAAATAAGACAAAGAAACAGGGTGGTAGCTACATTAGAGCACTCAAAGGATACACTTTCGGGGGGTATGT